TTCAATAGTGTTTGTGAATATATTTCATTGACAAAAAGGTTTAAGATCTAAGAACTTCTTGTATACTTTATGTAACATTCGAAATACACCCGCAAACATGCTTTTGCAGAGATGTTCTTCATACCCTATACTGGTTGTTCTTATACTGATTTAGCTGAGTTATTTTCATATCTTCTACTGGTCTAGTTGAGTTATTTTCATATCTTTAAACTGGTTGTTCTTATACTGGTCTAGTTGAGTTATTTTCATATCTTATAACTGGTTGTTCTTATACTGGTCTAGTTGAGTTGTTTTCATATCTTTTAACTGGTTGTTCTTATACTGGTCTAGTTGAGTTATTTTCATATCTTATAACTGGTTATTCTTATACTGGTTTAGTTGAGTTATTTTCATATCTTCTACTGGTCTAGTTGAGTTATTTTCATATCTAATAACTGGTTATTCTTATACTGGTCTAGTTGAGTTGTTTTCATATCTTATAACTGGTTGTTCTTATACTGGTTTAGTTGAGTTATTTTCATATCTTATAACTGGTTGTTCTTATACTGGTTTAGTTGAGTTATTTTCATATCTTATAACTGTTTATTCTTATACTGGTCTAGTTGAGTTGTTTTCATATCTTATAAATGGTTATTCTTATACTGGTTTAGTTGAGTTATTTTCATATCTTATACTGGTTGTTCTTATACTGGTCTAGTTGAGTTATTTTCATATCTTATAACTGGTTATTCTTATACTGGTCTAGTTGAGTTGTTTTCATATCTTTTAACTGGTTGTTCTTCTACTGGTCTAGTTGAGTTATTTTCATATCTTATAACTGGTTATTCTTATACTGGTTTAGTTGAGTTATTTTCATATCTTCTACTGGTCTAGTTGAGTTATTTTCATATCTTATAACTGGTTATTCTTATACTGGTTTAGTTGAGTTGTTTTCATATCTTATACTGGTTGTTCTTATACTGGTTTAGTTGAGTTATTTTCATATCTTATATTGGTTATTCTTATACTGGTTTAGTTGAGTTGTTTTCATATCTTATAACTGGTTATTCTTATACTGGTTTGGTTGAGTTGTTTTCATATCCTATACTGGTTGTTCTTATACTGATTTAGTTGAGTTATTTTCATATCTTCTACTGGTCTAGTTGAGTTATTTTCATATCTTATAACTGGTTGTTCTTATACTGGTCTAGTTGAGTTTTTTTCATATCTTATACTGGTTTAGTTGAGTTATTTTCATATCTTATAACTGGTTGTTCTTATACTGGTTTAGTTGAGTTGTTTTCATATCTTATAACTGGTTGTTCTTATACTGGTCTAGTTGAGTTATTTTCATATCTTATAACTGGTTGTTCTTATACTGGTTTAGTTGAGTTATTTTCATAACTTATAACTGGTTGTTCTTATACTGGTTTGGTTGAGTTATTTTCATATCTTATACTGGTTGTTCTTATACTGGTCTAGTTGAGTTGTTTTCATATCTTATAACTGGTTGTTCTTATACTGGTTTAGTTGAGTTATTTTCATATCTTATATTGGTTATTCTTATACTGGTCTAGTTGAGGTATTTTCATATCTTATACTGGTTATTCTTATACTGGTCTAGTTGAGGTATTTTCATATCCTATACAGGTTATTCTTATACTGGTTTAGTTGAGTTATTTTCATATCTTATACTGGTTATTCTTATACTGGTCTAGTTGAGTTGTTTTCATATCTTATACTGGTTATTCTTATACTGGTCTAGTTGAGTTATTTTCATATCTTATAACTGGTTGTTCTTATACTGGTTTAGTTGAGTTATTTTCATATCCTATACTGGTTATACTTATACTGGTCTAGTTGAGTTATTTTCATATCTTATAACTGGTTGTTCTTATACTGGTTTAGTTGAGTTATTTTCATATCTTATACTGGTTATACTTATACTGGTCTAGTTGAGTTATTTTCATATCTTACATTGGTTGTTCTTATACTGATTTAGTTGAGTTATTTTCATATCTTATAACTGGTTATTCTTATACTGGTCTAGTTGAGTTGTTTTCATATCTTATAACTGGTTGTCCTTATACTGGTTTAGTTGAGTTATTTTCATATCTTATAACTGGTTGTTCTTATACTGGTTTAGTTGAGTTATTTTCATATCTTATAACTGGTTATTCTTATACTGGTCTAGTTGAGTTGTTTTCATATCTTATAAATGGTTATTCTTATACTGGTTTAGTTGAGTTGTTTTCATATCTTATAACTGGTTGTTCTTATACTGGTTTAGTTGAGTTATTTTCATATCTTATAACTGGTTGTTCTTATACTGGTTTAGTTGAGTTATTTTCATATCTTATAACTGGTTATTCTTATACTGGTCTAGTTGAGTTGTTTTCATATCTTATAACCGGTTATTCTTATACTGGTTTAGTTGAGTTGTTTTCATATCTTATAACTGGTTGTTCTTATACTGGTTTGTTTGAGTTGTTTTCATATCTTATACTGGTTGTTCTTATACTGGCCTAGTTGAGTTATTTTCATATCTTATAACTGGTTGTTCTTATACTGGTTTAGTTGAGTTGTTTTCATATCTTATAACTGGTTGTTCTTATACTGGTCTAATTGAGTTATTTTCATATCTTATAACCGGTTATTCTTATACTGGTTTAGTTGAGTTGCTTTCATATCTTATAACTGGTTATTCTTATACTGGTTTAGTTGAGTTGTTTTCATATCTTATAACTGGTTATTCTTATACTGGTTTAGTTGAGTTATTTTCATGTCTTATAACTGGTTATTCTTATACTGGTTTAGTTGAGCTGTTTTCATATCT